CCCCAAAACCCCAAAACCCCAAAACCCCAAAACCCCTTTCATCCGAAAATTTATTGAAATGTCTTACAGAAATTAGAAATGATCGGATTGTTTTTGAATTCTTATGTTGTCTCAGGTTTCTTGGTCTGTATGGGTTCATATGCTTTAGATTTCTCATTCTCTTTTCCTTTCAGAAGATGATTCTTATCCTTCTTGTGGTTTATACCTAAATTTCGAGCATTTTGGGCCTCATTGTTCCTCTGTGTTTTTGAGTTTGCTAGCTTTGATGAAGAAACAAAATTAGGCTTTACCATTTGCTGGTAATTTATTTGAGCATATGGCATGTTATTTTGGAGATTTTATCTTAGTAATATGCTTGCTTAAGATCTCAGGAGTTCCAAGATATGACATCTCTTGTTCAGATTTATTAGAATTTGGAATTTGAAGAGGACGATTATTTGATTTTATTAAGATCTTCTTCAGATTCAGATTCTTCAAATACAAATTTCTTGCTTCCCTTATTATCCCGATGAGTAGTGGAGCCAATATTCAAGGAATACACCTCCATATCTTCATTTGTCAGGTATTCTTCATGGGCACTGACTTTATTTGTCTTTCTTGTATCGTAATGTATAGAGTACACTTCTTGAGAATCTTGGGAAGTGTTATCAATTTCAAAATCCTTTACAAAATAGTTGGAAACAACAGATTTCTTCTTCTCAAGTGTTTTGTTTCCAAATTTCTTTACCCCAATTCCTTCATCAAGAATTGAGGGCTTTAGAGAAGTTTTTCCTGAAAATTTAAGATTTTTATCGGCATTTCCATTTAGATTTTCTAGATATTCTATAAATAAAGAGAATTTCTTACTATCCGTTCATTTTTCAACTGAACTGAGTGTATTTGAACCAAAATGATCATCTTTGCAAATTATAGGATGATAATCTTCTATTCTCTCATCTGTATTGGCTTGCATCATCTTCTGCAGGCTGACTTGGGAGCTATCTTGCTTTCTTTTGGCTCTTTTAGCACTCTTTCAAATTTTATTAGGAGATTCTTCAAATCCAGCAATGATTTCCTGGCTGCTTTCTGAGATGCTAATCACTGAGTCTTCTTTCTCTTCCTTTAAACTAGAATCAGAGTTATACCTTAATTTTGAAGGTTTACATTCTTTGTGAGGATCTGTTTTAAGAACAAGATAACTGCTTTGGTTTACAATTGACTTGGAAAAGCTAGTCATATTTGAAAATAGTTCTATATTCTCGCTAGCTTTTACATATTTTGGTAGTATATTCTGAGTATTTTGAAGTGAACTCAATTGAGGAGAAATAAACGTAGCAATATTATCAATATCTTCAGTCATCGTCCCAATTTTTGCATGATCTGATTTTTCCTCAATTATCAATCTAAAAAATAGAATTAGTATGTGAACTGATTATGGAACCACTTACTTCTTCTTTTCTTCTTCCTTGGTTCACTTAGGCTCATCCTCTATGAGTTCATCGAAGGAGTTAAGATCAAAGCTATCCATAACTTCGTTCTGGATGTCTGAAACAGATACAGTTTTAAACTCATTTTCTTGCACTTTCTTAATTCTATCATGGAGGGCATCGTTTATAGCATATATCTCTTGAAGTTTCTTTTGCAAAGTATGATATTCTTTAAAAGCCTCTCTTTTTCCCTTCTCTTTAGCAATATCCTTCATTGCTAGAGCATAGATATCTTGCCATTTCTCTAGCTCTTCATCCGATAGGTTGGGGAGGATGAAATTAGTAGGAATCTTCCCTTGCTCTATATCTCCTCGTACATTTTTTGACAGAGCAGGAGTACATTCTGTTTTGTTGTGGCAAGCATACTCTTGATTTTTTTGGATTCTTTCATCTTTATAGATCTTTGAAAGCCCATCCTGATATTCTTTCCCCACCTAAAGTGGTTATATTATTACTGGAATGTACCTTCTCTCATTGGGCTCATAAATTATTTTTTATGAGGATTTGGGGAGTTTGGCAGAAGTTTCATTCTACAATTTCACATAAATAATACCATAAGCTTGTTATTTATTGGCATATCTATTTCGGGCTTAATCGTTACTGTAGCTATTTTCCCACTTCTAAATGAAGCCATCTTATCTCCAATCTGAGCAGGAAGAATAGAAGTATTTATAATTCCAACATCTTTCACAAAGAGATCAAAGGGATGTCTTAGAACTGTTGCCATTTTAAAAATTTATTCTAAAACTAGACAGTGATTTTCAAAAAGTGCCTCCAAAAATGGGGTTTTGGGGTTTTGGGGTTTTGGGG